CACTCAAACTATCCAGAAAGGCTTGCAAATCACCTGGATTTTCACTTAGTATCACAATGTCTTCTGCATATTTTCGATCAGACAGCCTGCCACATGGGAGTAAATTGATGCCACTATCCTCACACGAGGATAAGGCTGTTTCCATAATCTGGTTTATAACAAAGTTAAATAGAAAAGAAAAGAGAGGGCAATCCTGTCAAACATCACTTTCCGTGGTGAACTCGGGCAAAAAACCTCAGACTCGACTACGGCTATTTGTAATACTGAAATTAGCTTCCCGGGCACACCTTTCATGCAAAGACAGCACCGAAGCTTAGAGCGGTCGACTGAGTAGAAATTTGATTTCAGATCGAGGAAGACAGAGATGGTGGGTCTACGAAAGGAATGTCGGTGCTCCAGAGTTTGACGAAGGGTGATGTGGTCGATACAACCTCGACAAGGTCTAAAGCCAACCTGGTTCTCACGCGTGTACCGTTCACGTGCGGCAGATAATCGACGGAGTATGATCCCAGCCAGAAGTTTAGAATCGATATTGATTAAACTAATTCCTCTGTGGTTTTCATAAGAGGATCTGTCATCTTTCTTGCAAATCGGTATGATGACCGATTCACACCATTCAGTTGGAACCTGTTTTTTCTCCCACACTGAACCCAGGAGTTTTGTTGATTCCGAGACTAAGGCTGAGCCTCCATCCTTAAAAGCCGATGGGGACAGCCCGTCTGGGTCGGAGGCTGTGTGCAAGTAGATAACGATCTGTCGAGAACAAACGGTAGGATAGCAAATAGGCTTCATCAATACTGCATCGGAGTTCAGTCAGATCGATCCCATCACGCGAGTAGAGCTCACAAATCAGAATAGACCGCAATGTCAAAAGTTTGATATGCGACCATGAGAGTGAGCTTATCGACTAACGATGAGAGTGAACTGACTAATGTGGATTCTGAATTAAACACAAACCAAAAAAAGTAAATTTTCTCATGTAAACATCATTCTCACAGAGTTGAGAATGAAATCACCGAAAACATCTGTTTGGCTAAACTGTGCGCTCCGATGCAATTGATGATATTCCGTGATCTGGAAAGTGCTACAAGCGAGCAATGAAAAGTGAAAACTTTGAAGAAGGTACGGATCGACCTTCAAGTCGGCAAAAAGTTGTTAAGGAGCAAAAATAGCATGAGAAAACATGCATGATATCCTCTCAGTAAAGAACCACACTAATACAAATGGGTAGAGCAAATACATGATGAAAAATGGCAGCAATTTCCTTAGAAGAACGAGAGGAATGGTAACCAGATTAGAAGGCTTGGAACTGTGAGACAAGAGTAGAAGTTAGACTCGGGGCGTATTCAGCGGGGAATACCGATGGCGGGATCGGAATGCTCCCGGATACATTTCCAGGGTGCAGATAGGCGAACAATCACCGTGAATGGGTAAATTGGTCTCACACAAACAGTCCAACACGCCTAAATCAGGTTGGGGATTGAGGTATCCGGTACGGTATGTGCTTGCATCATCCAAGTGCAAACGGCTTCAACAGGAATGACACGAGCCTGTGCCTGCACTCACCCTCTTTGATCGGGTATAAGTGGCTGAGAGCTTTAAGTACTTCCAGAGCCCGATCGCAGCTGGAGGTGGTGTTAGGGAGGAGATCGCATTAAGAACAGAAAAAATCGGAATGCCTTTTGCCAACCTGCAAAACATGTGGCTTTGAGATGAAATCTGACTTTCCCTTCAAGATAAAGTGAGCACCACAGCGTTTCGTAGTGTTTTGCTTTACGGTTGCATCTGCGTACAGATGATAATCGACTATCTGTATTCGACCACCGACATCTTCGAAGCATTACCAATGTTTCGTGGGGATATCGGGTCAGCAATGACGAGGTTCGTCGTCGTGTGATGGGTACGAAAGGTCTTTCTCCAAAAGAATTAATTGATCTACACCGGGTCCGAGGGTGTGGTCAGGTTTTGCGTAAATCCGTCAACCGTCTATGTCATCGCGTGAGTTTTAGTTTTTACAACCATTACCATGCATATACGTGCGCCAGTTTTGGTTTATGCCTTTTGGATGCCCATTTGGATAGAAGAGCAGAATGAAGATTAGAATGTTGAGAGCAAACTCAAGGGGAAGATAGAGAATTCATGTAGATTGGGGTAACAAGAATAATGAGTAGGTGCATGAGTGCCACTGTTTGCCACACTCAGCTATTGTGAGGTGGCCACTTCACAAGCACTGATGAGGTTACCTCGGCTGGTGCTGAAACGTTGGCCAACAAATTGCCAAGCTCGGCGGATAGGTGAAATGGAATTCAGTTCACCCGAGCTACGAGAACCAATTTTCAATATTTTGTCAACACTCAGCTATATCACTGTTAGCATAATCTCGTGGTCCCAATCTAGGGAGATTAAAGGGAATAGCTGTGACCCATGGTCCTGGTTAGGGTTTTCATACCCTCATGCTAGGTCTTACTTTGACTGTCGAAACCGTTGGGAACAGTCCGTATGGACAGGAAGCCTTACATTTTTTTAAATAACTGATTTCCCGATTAACACTCGTTTTAGATGGAGGACTGATATATGTTGGCAAGATTTGCCTAGCTGAAGCAAGCATAGGAGATTTTGTGCTACCGGGGGCCAGCTCAAATGTATCTTAGAATGTTCGGCCCATCCTTCAAGACGGCGTTGCTGAATATACATCAGTGTGCCACCAGACTCTCTAATTACTTCACCTACGCCTACTTTCCTTGAACTCGTAGGCTTAATCCTACAAAAGATTGCGACTATTATCGATACCCGTGGCCCTCTCCATCTCTTCAAGCTTTTCTATCCACCACTTCTGGCGGTCATTCCTCAGAATCGTGATGAGCTGGCGTTTAAGGGCTTTGCACGCTGTCATATTTGCATCGGAAGGAATGGTTTTGCAAGCGTCCAGCAGGGCAGCCGAGGTCGAGGAGATCTATCGTTTTTGTTTTGATTGTGCACCGGAATCCGCCGTTGTTTTGATTGATATTTAGACGATTTCCTTGATTACCGTCCGGTATTCACTGAATTTTTGGGCTTTGAGCTGAAAAGCGATCAGATAGAACCGATTCGAAGGCCGATTTTCAACTATCGCTGACATAGTATTGTGGGCATCCGTTTCCAATAGCTTTTCTGAAGTTGCTTATCACACAATGAGAATCTGGCTAGTAGTAGAGCATGGTCCGTGTCCACGAGTGTTGACTAGTGGGAGCGACAGTCTTCAATGGATCCTCGCCAGTGGTGGCTGATAGCGATGTGGTCGATTTGAGTTCAGTGCGGTGAAGAGGTTGATGGTTTTCGTGTAATGCGGTGCCGTTTCTTGCGCGAAAAGTTTGCGCTTGACACCAACAATCCAGGGTCAGTGCAAAGTTGGAGTAAGCGTCTTTTGTTGTCCGCCTGGTTGGCTAGGATGGCAAGAGTACCACCACTAGGCTTTTCTGATTCGTCCAGGGATCCCACTTGAGCATTGAAGTCTCCTCCGACTACCACAATATCCGTTGACCGAACACTTTGGAGCAGTTGAGAGAGGTCCTTACAGAATGAACCCTTCATTTCTGGCGAACTGTATTTAGTCGTTGCATACACGGATACGACGAATAAGCATAGACGCTTCGTTCTGTAGCTGTTGACCCATACTGAACCATCCAGATGTATAGTGCAGTCGGCTACCAACCGGAATCCAGTCAAAGAGTGAACGCTCGGCCTTGACACTTGGCGCAAATCCCAACACCATCAGCACCGCGAGCTTCGGATGCCGAATTGCCTGACACACGGAGAGTGAAGCGTGAAGATGAGGTCGGATCTGGAGATTGCCAGATCATGATTGAATTAGGGTCTTGTATGCGTATTTCAGAGAAACAACATAACTTTAAATTTAAAGTTTCACGCGTTCTAGCAGTTTGTTGACCGATTTGACAGTGCAGACAGTAAATGTGGCCAAGTGAAACGGAGTTTTTGGTTTCAAAAATCTGATAGCTTCTGGCTAGTTGATCTAACCAGTTGAACGCTGCGTGACATCCCATGGGTGGTGCAAACAGCAGACATCTCGTACGCTTTGGCAGTGAGCGGAAGAACTGGACGAATGAGAAAGAGGGCTTTCTAAATGGGTGTCTAAGAGGATTCATTAGATGAAAGGGTAGAATCAGAAGGGAAAATGGGTAGGGAATAGAAGAGCACTGGCTTTTAGCGGTTTATGAGCGCCATTGTCCGTTGAGGCTCTATTATACGTAGAAAGATAAACAAAATCTGCGAGAGAATGACAATGCATAATACGGAGGAATAACAGTTTTTAAGGAGCACACTGGTCAGGAACTGGCAAACACCAACTGTATGAGGAAGTACTTAGGAATTGATAACAACGCTTTAAAGCAATTTTAAGGAAAGCGAAGGATAAACATGCCGGCAATCTGCAGCTAAATATCAGATAGTAGCAGTTGCGTGGAATTTGAAGGTAAAAGAACATTCAGATTACGAATAGGATGCAATGAAATAGAACGTAGCACAAACTGGTTACAAAATTTGTGGTGGTGAAGGAAAGGGTGAGATATGAGATAGTTGGTTGGTTGGAGGGCGACGCCCAATTGATCGCGAGAAGATACAGAGGGAGAAAGAAGTTTTGCGCACTGTGAAGAGTTGAAGGTTGGAAGATCACAAGTAGGTATATTTTAATCAAAGCGTTCGAAAAAACCCGAATGAAAAAATGAACCAACTGCACTATCTCCATCCATTTTCCTTTCACACATTTAGAAACCCATTTGTACAAGAGGCTTTCAGGCAAGCGGACCTCTTGGGTCAACAAAAATCATAGCAGTCTGTCTAATACCTCAGCTGGTATTCAAACCTAAACATGGTGCTTGTGAGTCAAACGCGCCAATCTCTAGGGTTACACGGATAGGTTTCTGTAGCCCTATTCATGATTCATGAACATGTTGCGTAGTACTGTATGTATTCGGTTTGATGTACTGGATGATGCTTTCACAAGGTTAATTTACAACCCAACCCCGAGTTAGGCATTCCCTAGTTGCTGTTCACAACGGAAAAATGAAAAAAAAATAAGCACCAAGAACACTCACCGTAACTAGCCACGGCAGCCTCATCTTGAGCAATCAGCCAACCGGGATGAGCGAACAAAACGACGGGGGCAATGCGCCAACTGCGTGAGTAGTACAAATTTTGGGGTACATTCTCACGTAAATACACCCGCAGCATCAAGTGTTTATTCACCAAGCGGTTATAAAGATCCAGTGCTGTAAATCCTATCAATTGGTAGACAAACAGAAAAAAGCAGATCATGAGAAGTTCATAATGGCATGTAGAACCTACCATCTTTCGGCCAAAGCGCCCACATTACACGAACAGGTGGACCTGGACTGGTATAATTTGTTTGATCAATAAGTTCATCCAAAATGATCATGCGCTGACGATCCACTGACACCATTCCGTGGTCACTGGTCACAATGATGTTGAGATCAGTACTTAATGAGGGTATGTTATCAACCTGTTGTAATAAATAACCCAAATCTTGGTTGATTAAATCTATGGTCCGGAGAACTTGGTGTGAATACGGACCAAAGTTGTGTCCTTCAATATCAGGCTGGTTGTGATAAAGCATTCCAAGTGTCGTATTGGGTTTCTGTAATTGCTCTATCATCCAACTGATAGACTGACGAAACGGAATACTAAAATTAAAGTTGGGGTACACGTAAGATGGAAGAGAGCCTTTGATTTTAGCATATATTCCGGGCCAGGCATTTACGGCACTTCGGTAACCGTGACGTTCATTGGTCACCCAAATCGGTTCTGCTCCGACGTCGAACCAACGGGAGTCATTGGCTTGTGTCGTATCGGTCAGAGCGAATGTTGCGTTCAGGTGTGGGTCGTAAAACGAGTTATCAACCAAACCATGACTTTCTTCGTGCAATCCAGTGGCAATCGTGAAGTGATTTGGCCCGGTGCGTGAAATAAACTCATTCTGAACACGCATCGCCCGAAAACCGGAATTCCAGATCCGTTTAAAGGCAGAAATATTGATTTCAGCCAGTTTGGCCAATTCGAGATAATCATGCCGGAATCCATCCAGAGAGATGATCAAGACTTTCCCTGGCTTTTCAGTCAGAATGAATGCACTGCAACTGGCCAAAAGGATAAGCAAGGCACATGTTCTGCTTAGAGGTGATCGACAGCCAGACATAATGTTCAACGCAAGTTTGGCGAATAAAATACAAATGTGTTACGATTGTGAAGAGGTTGATCGATTGTGGAGGCTGCAAAACAACTTGGAACAGGCTATTAATCTGTACACATCAACCCGAAGGTCAAAAGACCTAGGGCATCCACCTGGAGAAATGACGAAATAGATTACATTATGATGTGAATTATTATTATCGAACACATTCACCAACACGGCAAAATCATCAAATTTGAAAGTGTTTTCGTATTTATCAGACAATGCATTGCTGCTTTCCTTTCTACTATTCTCTTAAAATGAATGAAAAAAACTGAAAGGGCTCAAATAAACCTGATAAAACCCGAGAACTGTATGAGCGGCACAGGCGATGTGCTCTTTCCGTTTAGATTTCTTGGTCTGCCGAGTCACCAAACTTGCATTTTTGTGTGATGGCTCTGGTTACCGGGTATCCACAAACCGCTTCAGTCAGTGAAATGGAATTAAGTGATAAATGTGTAAAAGGGATGTCAAGATAACAATGCGAGTATGGATACGTTGGAGGTGAGCGGAAGATTAGGTTCCACGAACACTGTTTATGTCACAGTTTGTGTTTCACACACGTCTGAATCTATTCTGCGCCAAACAAATCAAAGCACAATTATCTTTATAAAAAAGTTCTGTGATTTGTTTGTGGGCGGAGTATTACAAGGTTGCCCAGGCCAAAGCAGGTGAGTTTTCTTGAGGAATTCATAACTGGATCCGGAGAGTATAGTTGTATGCTACGGAGCATGTTTTCAGGTTGCGGATGTAGAAACGGCCGTCATCTCGCAGTTACCGTGAGTAAGGAGGGCTTAAGCCTCCCGAATAAGCTGCCTCAGACTATCAGCGGATATGCTCAAGGATCTAGTGGGTTAACCTCCTGGCAAGTGTTCTCCGCACACAACACCACGAATGTCTGTGGACAGCGCTGTTTGCTGCCCCTTGTGGAATTCCATCTACCCGACAAGGTTTTCCAGAAGAGGTGAATGAACCTAATACCGGTCACCGGCTCATCTGGAACATCATTGTTGCCTTGCAGTCCCTGCTTGGTTGCGCAAAGACGAGAGTGCACCCTCGAACAATGCCCACTCTGGACTGAGCGACCGAGTAGTACAAAAGCGAGCAGTGAAGTTCGCTTCACTGTACGATGATGGTGATGATGTAGTACAATAGCCCACAAAGATAAATATTTCGTCCCTAACGCTTCGTCAGTCTACACTTTCTGCACTCCAGACCGTACACATGTGACCTTCACTCTCTCTCGGTTTCTTTAGACGATCCTACTAAAACGGGGCCCCAGATGGAAACCCTGTCGCTGTTGTTTCCTGTCTTACCTCGACCACTGTTCGAGTCTCACCGAATCTTCCACAAACTGAAGCACTTATTGTTTCTTTATGCCCATTCAAACTAGTCACATTTAACGTGCGTACTTTGATGTGTGAAAGACAACAGGAATGTTTAGCTCGTACACTCCAGGCGCCAGCTATTATTTTGTGAGGCATTCAAGATACTTGCATTCAAGACTCCACCTCCATTGTACCATTGACGTCCCATTCAAACCATCGGCGAAGTTTCACTTACACCTTTATGGGAACCCTGAGGAGGGGGCTCCCGTTGTTGCTGGCGTTGTTGTGGCTCTCAGTGAGAGAGCTGAAGTCGCGCTCCTGCACTGGATACTAGTCGACA